TTTTTTTTTTTAAGAATTTCATCTTTTGTAGGTACACTTTCTTTGGGAAGCAAGAGTTATACTTTAATTTGTAATCAACTTTTTAATTTTTAAGGTTGAAATGAACTTATGACCTTTCTATTTGAGATCAGATTCTGCTCGGAAAACCCTAAGCAAACTTGTAAAATTGGTACCATGGCTACTGCTTAGTAAAGAATACTTTCTCATCATTTCTCATATTTCTCATTCTTCTCTATAACTTTTCTTTCATATCCTTCTTTCACAGAAACATCTTACTGTTAAAATTTAAAAGGAGGTCTGAATATTAATAAAAATCAAGAGACAAAATAAATAAATTAAAAGTTGAAGACATGAGGCCAAAGAGAAACACTGCTGTGTATTTTCTTAAAGAGGCTGCTACTTGGGAAGTCAGATGGCCTGGGTTGAACTTTCAACTTTCTGGTTATCAATTGTGAGATCACTAGGAAAATAACTTGTCTTGCCTGAGCGTCAATTTCCCTTGCTGAATAATCAGCTAACGTTTGTTCTTTCAACCTATCAGAGATATTTTTAGAATTATTTTTAAAGAGAAAAGAAAAGACTTGGGCTCAGTGCCCATAGCTCAGTGGTTAGAGCGCTGGCCACATACACTGGAGCTGGTGGGTTGGAATATAGGCTGGGCCTGCTAAACAAACAAACAACAGCAAAAATAGCCAGGCACCTGTAGTCCCAGCTACTTGGGAGACTGAGGCAAGAGAAACTCCCTTAAGCCCAAGAGTTGGAGGTTGCTGTGAGCTATGACACCAAGGCACTCTACCCAGGGCGACATAGTGACCCTGCCTCAAAAAACAAAACAAAAGGCAAAAATGTTTAAGTAAACATGTAAATGGTAAATGGTATAAATCCCATACATTATCTTGTTTAAATTTATGGAAGTGAATGTCAGTCTCCAAACTACCAACTTAATATTTATGTCCAATGAGATTTTAAAAGTCAGTAGAAAATAGCTACTTTTCCTCCTTGGCAGGTACGATGACCGACTACCAGAAACTGTCATGCAATAACCCCCAAAATAACAGTAAAAAGAACCAGAGTTTTCTGCTGAAGATGGGGTGGGCTGTGTGGGGAAAAGGTACATTTTAAACTATAAAGCTGTTGAAGAAAATTTTTGAGTTGTAGGATTAGGACACCTCTGTGGGAAGGAAACCATGAAAAGGTGGGTGCTCAAAGTATTCAGGAGATTGATTCTGGGGAAGAGAGAGATGGTTATTGCCTGCGCATGCGCAAAGAGAGCGCTCCAGCGCGCAGAGACTGGGCCTCAGAGGAAAAAGGGCAAGTTCAATGAGCAGAAGACGAAGTTGTTGCTTTGAGGTTCCTATGTGCCGGGACTCCATGCAAATAAATAACACCTGCTCAGTCAGTTCTTGCATTGAAGGCCCAACACTAGCAAGCCCTCCCCTCACAAGAGACAAGGGTGAAGCCCCTCCTAACGTTCCTCACTGTCTTTTATTGAAATTTTGGGAATGAGAAAATACAGCACACTAGAAAGCTTCAAAGAGAGAGTCGGATTAAAAAAATCAAGAGTTAAACTGCCTGATTGAACTCAACACATTCTGTTTGCTGCACGTCTATCTTGCTTTTTTCTTATCACTGCTAATGTGTGACTTAGGGTGGGGACGGCATGCTGTACTTCTTTCAGTACTCAGGGTCAGCTATGATTCTTGGCTTTTGCCCAGATTATTCTGTCCTCATTTCCTAACTCTTTTAACCTTATCCTGACTCTTTTAACCTAATCGTCTATCCTACATGTATGGTTACAGATTTGGTAACATTGAGCTGCTTAATTGACAACAGTCTTCATGTTTAAATTAAATCAAAGAAAAAGGCATATATACATCTAGGAATATTATTCAAATGTATCAGAATGATATACAACTTGCCATATTTAATTATGAATAAATGTAAATTGAGTTTTTAAAATCCCTTCTTAGTATTTTCTCTAGAGAGGTGTGAGGTATTTATTCTGCTGTTGTTGTTGGTTGTTTTATGTTTGGCTGCCTGGAGACGCAGAGAGTTGCTACTGACTTGAAAGTAAACAGTACCTGACAGGGATTGGTATGCCCTGAAAAAGCAACTGTGCTTTGTGTCCCTTATCAATATGTAAAATAGCCAGTCCAAATGGGAGTTTCTGATCATTTTGCACGGCAACTTTAAGGGTAAAACTTTACATGACCTCATGATGAGCTTGTATTAAACTGTAGCTCGGGTTTTCTGCTCAAGGTCTTTGCACATCATATCTATATGCTACCGTGGCTTATCAAGAGGAAACTAATCCTGTGACTATGTCAAGATCAGTGTTGCTATTTCTGTTGGGGATCATGTTACCATAGTAATATATTCCCTGTGGCTTAGAAAAGATTTATTTTCCTTAAGTTCTATTTTTACTTTATTCAAAATGAAGTAGAGATAAAAATCATAAAAATGGTTTTCCTGTTGCCTTCAGATTTAATGGCAGTTTTAGGCAGAAGGATAAAGGTAATCAGCACATGTCTCATTTTAACAACTTTCATTTATATACTGTGTGCTGGCCTCTCAGGACCGCCTCGTCATGAGAATGACCATGATAATAGAAATGAGTTCCTGTGTATATTTTATGTTCCTTTTTGAGGTATGTTTTTTCTGCAAGGGGGCAGGGTCAACTCCATTCCTCAAAATTTGATCCAAATGTCAAGACTGATGATGTCACACATCAAGATGGTCTAGAAATTTAAAAATAAGGATTTCTCTGGACAGCAGGGTAGACTCCCAGGAATGTTGAAAAGTAGCTTGAGAGATCAGCACAAGAAAAACCTGCCTTAGGATTTTGTTGTTAGAGTTCTTGGCCCAGGTGAGTGATCTCCCACAAGGATTTGAGTGTCCTACCAGTGCCAGGGGAGGGAGGGTTTGCCAGCTCTCCAGCTGGATTGTCTAGATGTGATGTAAGACAGGGAAAAAAGAACTGGGCCTTGAAAACTGTTAGTGGCAAATGTCAAAAAAAGAGCCCTACTATGCTTTATTTTACCTAAGCACATTACAAAGACATAGATGAAAAATATATACATGTATATATGTATGTGTGTATATGTATAACATGAGTACAGATATCAGTAAAAGCAAATGAAAATTTGTGCTTGCTGAAGATTACATGCTCTATATTGGCATGGCTACAGTGGAACTGTCGTGTGGGCTACTGTTCTGTAGCAACAGAGACAACAGGTGAGGTGTGACCTAAGTTTTAGCAACAGTTTCTCCTTTCTACTCTTCTTTTTTTCTGCTTTGCCTTTCTTTTTCTTGGTGGAATTTTTGAACTGGAGGTAGTGAGACTTCTTAGGTCATGGAGCATTATGGGCAAATGAAAGTTTAAGGTTTTTCCCTTGGTCTATTTAATTATTCTTTTTAAAAATTCACTATGCACAGCATTCTTCTTTCTGTAGAAACTCAGCTGATTGTAAATATAACTGTATGTGTAGTAGAAAAAATGTATAATGTTTTGTTTTTTTGTGTGTGTACATTATGAATTTATAGAAATAATATTTTGCTATAGACATGTATTTTTACTCAATATCACATTTTAAAATCTATCTTTGTAGGTGGATGCAATTTAGTTTGTTACTTCTGACTGCTACATGATATTCAGTCTTACACTTACAAAACACCCCAGACTTCCATTCCCTTAGTGTTAGATGACTGGGAGTCTCTTCTCTAGCCTTTTCTCTTTCTATGATGTCCTGGGCTACCATTCTGTCTCCAGACCCTCACTTGAAAGTAAACATATGTTTTTCCTCCAAGGCTTATGTGTGTGTACATGTGCTACATCTGGCATCTTTCTACCTCTTTCTTTTGCCTCAGTGACATCTTTAAGGTAAGTTCCCATAAAAGAGACACTGGTCTATTTTTGCTTTTTATGTATATATTTTTGCATTCAAAGCACTATGAAGCACTTAATTTTATTTGTTTCTCATAATTCAGTAAGTCAAGTACTATGATTAACTATATTATATTGCTAAGGCAACTAAACTCTTGGTGAAGCTAAGTTAAAGTAAGTCCTAGGTGAGTGGATTCTGGAGTAAAACTAAAGTCTTACAGTTTTTTTAACACTGCCTTTAATTAGTCCAAATAAGCCTTTACCAACCAATTATAACAAATGGGCCCAGACCAGAACAAACTTTTTAGAATGGTCAATGTTGCTTAGTAGTATCCAGGACAAGTTCTGCTAGGAAATAGAATGTGATAAATTTCTATAGTATAGAAATTCATTCTTAAACTTCTTGAGTTTGACTTGGCATAAATGTCAGGCCTATCATACCACAACAAAGTGTCTACATATGATTTACTGATAACTACAGGGTATTATCCTACCACAGGGTAGCATCAGGTTCTGAGAACCTCAACTAAATTTCCTGTAGTAATTTGCTATATCTCTTATTTTTATATAGGAATCTCTAGATATAGCATTTAATCAGAATTAGGTGTCATTCAGTATGACAGTTCCTCAATGCTGTTCATATAGATGGAACTTGTTATTGATATTGGCTCAGGGATCCAGAAACGTGGAAAGTATTGTTTCAGTCTCTAACTTACTGTGTAACCTTATAAACCTAATTTTATTTCACTAAACCTCATCTGAAATTAGAGTGCTAGAATAGATGATTTTTCAGATTCCTTCCAACTTGAAATTCTATAGCTATAATATACTGTTAATTTAAATGTGATAACAACTCTCAAATATTCCTCTTAGGAAGGAACTGAAACAAATTATTTATATCTTCATGCATGTTGGTATAAGATAGAAGTATCAGTGATTTATTATTTTGACAAATTTTTATAAATACTTGTGCCTTATAGATGTCTATCAATATGTATTACTGTATAACAATTTATTAGGTAAGATAAGTAATTATGATGATAGGATTTTTTGAGATGATAGGTTACTTCTCTACAGGTTAAAGCAACTCTTTTTTTCTTTTAAATTTAAAATTCAGTCTCCATAGAGACTGTCAAAAATTGCCAGTGCCAACTATATTTCAAATCATTGTGGGTATTGGGAAAAGTTTTCAATTAGCAATAATCATGCCTCGTATAAACCTCATTGGCTATGATACTACCACTACACAAAGCTAAAGCAACACTTTCTGATATTGAGAGAAGGGAATAAAAATTGCATGTCCAAGGATAGTTTTTTAATAACAGGAAACAAACAAAAGCCAATAGTGAAAAAGTTTCACAAAAGTCTCCATGCTGGAGTGGAAGAAGCAAGATTGGTATTGATTTGCCATCTGTGAGGTGAGATTCTTTCAGCTGGTTGTGTGACTGAGAATGGGGTCTCCCCTCGAGCCTCCGAGGAAGAAAGACCTGACCTTATACATTATACCAGTCCTTTCACCAAGGCCATTCTTGCTTTTAAACCCTGGATTCCCACAGACAATCATGGACAACAGAGAGCAGGACTGAGAAATTCAACACATATAATATATATTTTAAAAGGCAGAGAGTTTGTTTTTAATAGTGTAGAGTATGTGATGCACTTCTTCTGCAATACGGGAGCTAATCTGTAGTGTGAAGCAAAGAATTTGAATCCTGCTGGCTCTGTGATGCTGGAAACTTTTTAACCTTTTTAAACTTAGTTTGGCATCTGAATCATCGGGATAATGATACATGTTGTTTGGAAAGAATTAGAGTCAGTATTCGTAAAAGATCTATTTTTGTAGCTTTTCATAATATATTTAGTGCTCATATCTGCTACAGGGAAGTCATGGTGTAGATGAAAGAGCGTGTAAATGCCTTTAAGCCCTCTGCAGTAAGCATCATCATTACCTGAGTGGGTTGTTATTGCCACATTTTTCCCCATGGTGAAGAATTGCCTTTGATTGTGTCTCTGAACATGGAACCAGGCTGGGGTTTCTCCCTGTCTATGATATACTTGTATGCACCAATGCACAAGTTCACACATAGCTATATTTTCAAAGGGCAAAACCAGTCTTAAGTCATCCTTGTACCCCTCTATTCCTGATGGAAGTTCACAAGTCTTCTCCTTATAATCATGAGCAAAGAGTTAGAGGCTTGGACACATCACAGTTTTTCAAGGCTCTAGTCTCTTCTTCAATTCCTGACAAATGTCACCTGCTTCTGAACCAAGGGTGAAAGGTTAAAAAAATATAGACCGCTAATGCAATAGCTTGCTCTAGAAGCGTTAAAACTGTGAGAATTGCCATTATTTTTCTATATCCGTCAGTTCAAAAGAGCATTCTGATACAAAGAAAAAGCCATCATTGCTCTGACAACTAGTGACCCAAGTGGGTGAGAAGAAGAAGGGTAATAGCAGAGAAAATACACCCAGAGCAAATATGCCCTATGTGTTCTCTTCCCACCAGCCAATAGCCAATTCTGTTCAATAGCTGAAATCACCTTGCCCAGGATGTGGCAAGGATAAAATGCTCATTGTAGAGTCAGGCAAAGAATTATGTATCAACAATTTCATAACAGAAATCTTAAAAATGTAGTTCCTAATAAAGCCTCCCAAAGTAGCATTTAAATTTGCTCTTGGCTCAAATTCATGCAATTAACCTTCATGACACATCATGTGGTAACAATAGATCTGCCTTGACGCTATGGTGCTGCAATCACTTTTCTTTCTCTCTCTCTCTCTTTTTTTTTTTCCTGCACACAAAGCTAAATTTGGCTTCTGTAGCTTTTAACATTTCATTCTGTGCAATTACATGCATCATTGACCCAATGATCAAGTGACAGAAACCTGCAATGGTTATTGTTGGTGGTGGCATGGATCAGTGGAGCACGGCATGAATGCTCAGGAAAGAGACAGATGTGAAAAGTTAGAATAGGCTAAGCCTGTTAAAATTGTGCTGCTTTTACTAACTGAAAGTCCCATATTCAAATGCATCTTTAATGAAAAATCTGCTTAATATCACCTCATCTTCTATTTTTCATTATATAGGTCACCCTAGAATAATTTCAGGGTGGAATTCTATAGATTTTCATGGTGACTGTACATGTGACCATTCTGTAGAGGCAAAAAGCAATGAAAAAAGGCTTCTTTTGTGTTTATAGAATGGTTCCCTAAAAGTTCCCAAATGTGAGAGGACATAATTAACTGAAATTATAATTTTTATGTTTAAGGGACAATAGCTTAATTTCCTCATAATTTATTTTAGTATAAGACTTAATACACAAATGCAAATAATATAACTCCAGCTAACTGAAACATGGGGGTTTATGAAAAAGAAGAAACCCCACATCTCTCCATTTACCTTGACTGCAAGAACCAGCCCAAGTATAGTGTTCACAAAGTCAGTTTTACTTCTAAATGGAGCTGAATATATTCTTCCTGTCTTTTCTTTTTTATTGTCAAAGACTATGGTATAATCAGAATAGAGCAGACTGCGGAATTAAAAATCCTGAGGTCAACTCTACCTCCATTACTTTTTAGCTCTGAGTCACTAGCAAAAGTCACAAAAGCTGTATAATAATCAATTTTGAGTGAAATGGGAATGGATTTTGTCACATCTAATTCTTGTGAAAATTATAAGGCGGTAAAGTGCTGGGAGAATGGGGACCAAAAATCCCATTCTTGGCAAGATAAAGTACCCCTAGAAAAAGAGGAAAATTAAAAAGTAAGCTGAGTGAGTCAGAACAAAGAAAAGTCAGCTAGTTTACATTTAAGCTAGCCATGGCTAGCAAGCTTTCTTCCTTTTCTGAAATTCTAGCCTATTGGGGATACAGCTTACAACACCCCTGCTAGGTCTGTGAGCACTGAGAAAAAAATGGCCATAGAAGAGAGTATGGCAAAGACCTAGAAGGATACATTAACTGGGTTGTTTCCTGCCTACTAAACAGGCAAAGCAGATACCCATTGTGGAGATTTGCATTTGCCTGGGGCAGCGATCAAGAGAGTATCTCCAGCCCTGAGATATGGGCAAAAGAACTTATATCTTTTATATCTCTTATCCCAGAAGAAGATCCTCTGTGGTGGTAATGGGAAGAAAATTCCTCCGTCCCACCGATTCCTCAGAGGAGATTAACACCAGTGGCGTTTTACTCCACAGAGAATTAGTACAGTTTAACACCTCCCTAGAAATCTGTGTGTGTGATCTTAAGTGGGAGGCCCTCCCAATATAAAGCTCATATTTCAGATTTCTCAGGGCTACCCTTAAGGTTAATAATAATAACAATAGGAGCTCATATGCTCAATCAGAAAAACTGCTGGTGTTTTTGTTCCCTCCCTCATCTTACCCTGTGGGCAAATAGATTTCAATTAAAGTAGAGTGGAGCAATCACTCTGAGCCATTGCTAGAATCCCATAAAAGGGCAATGGACCCCTGAGTTCCCACCTTTAATTCTATTCTGTGTTTCATGTCTCTTTCTTTGCCTTGTTTCTAACTTTATATTTCTTCAGTCAGTTGCTACTGCTGGTTCCACAGGTCTTAGTGGACCCTTCCTTCAGGGTGGGGCCCTGACATAAAGTATTTACCCCCCAAAGGGTTAGTTTTTCTTCTATCTTCTTCTCTTACCCCTGACTTCTCTCTGCCTTTGGTTTCTTCCTTCTCCTCCTTCCTTTTTAAAACTAAAACTCATTTTATTCCACAAACATGTCATTTCACATTAGACAAAATACTAAATTTTCCTCAACCTCATTTTTCTTCACTGATGAAATAGATTTATTAACAAACTTTATGTGTTAAATAAGATATGTGTGAAAATCTGGTAAGTGCTCAGTAGTAAATTCCCTTTCTTTCTTTTATTTCTTTGTTACATTTTCTGTAAACGTTGTGATTTAGAAAATCATTCAGTTTATATTCATTTTATTATTTCAGCTTCTTTGACTAGATAGAAGAAATCAGATGGCAAGTGAACTGGTAGGATGAAGAAACATTTTAAAAACTTTATTCTAAAATGTATATCAGGTATATACTAATAACCCCAGCACTGTTCCAGGTAAGGACTCTGCCCTTGTAAAGAAGCATTTTTGAGAGAAAAAGGAAGAAAATGCACAGAGAAGAAACAAATATACAAATTTGTGGCTAGAAAAAAAACTTTAGATAGCCTAGTAATTTTTGAAAACTGCCATGAAAATTGAGAACTATATATTAACTTAGCAAACCTCCTACAAAAATTGCACTGCATTGGCTTGATGCCTATAGCTCAGCGGCTAGTGCGCCAGCCATATACACTAGGGCTGGCAGGTTCCCAGCCTGGGCCTGCTAAACAACAGTGATAACTGCAACAAAAAAATAGCCAGGTTTTGTGGCAGGCACCTATAGTCCCAGCTACATGGGATGCTGAGGCAAGAGAATCACTTATGCCCAAGAGTTTGAGGTTGCTGTGAGCTGTGATGTCATAGCACTCTGCTGAGGGTGACATAGTGAGACTCTGTCTCAAAAAAAAAGTTGCGCTGCATCCATTACCCTTTCCTGAGTCAGCTTTCACTCATTTTTTTCTTTACTGATTTTTGGCAACAATCCTCAAGACTCTATTGATTTCAATTACTATTTTCATTCAACAAATGTATAATCTGCTGCTATTTAGTACTTCTGGTTAAAATCTCTAAATAAACCCATTACATCCTGCTCACCTTGGCTAAGATTCCCTCAGAAACACAATTAATCAAAAATCATATTGATTTTTCCAAGAATGAAAAATAATTAAAAATAATACTTCCAGGCTGGGCACAGTGGCTCAAGCCTGTAATACCACCACTCTGGAAGGCCTAGCTGGGTGGATTGTTCACAGGTTAGAGACTAGCCTGAGCCAAGCCACAAGATCCTGTCTCTTAAAATAGCCAGGTGTTGTCTTGGGCACCTGTAGTCCCAGCTACTTAGAAGGCTGAGACAAGAGAATTGCTTGAGCCCAAGAGTTTGAGGTTGCTGTGAGTTATGATACCACAGCACTCTACTGAGGGTGACAAAGTGAGACTCTGTCTCAAAGTAAATAAATAAATAAATAAATAAATAAAAATAAAATAAAAATAATACTTCCTCTTTCTCCTCAAATCCATCAGGAATTTGGGAAACTGATTATTTTAGGAACACACCAGACAGCACCCTGTCTCATGTCCTTGATGTATGGTTGATTATCCTTAATGTTACTTTCCCAGTTGTCTATTCT